GTCAGAGTGGCACGTGGACTAAGGAAGGCGCACGCTTTCAGTGCCCCGGAGACTTTTCTAGCCTTCAGACCAGCGCTTCTCAAATTCCTGATGTTGTGACCCCTAAACACAGGTAGGTGTTTAAGGTCAATGGCCTTAGGTGACCCCTGTGAAAGGGCAGCCCGCACCCCAGGTTGAGAACTGCTTTACACGTATCAGTACCTAACTCAGAATGATGCATTTGCACAGACAAAGACTGGTTCAAAAACAAGAAAGCCTCTGAATATTTTGTCATTCAATCTGTACATCAAACATTAAGCAAGTAAGAGCATGGACTCTTACCCCATGACAAGGTGTTTATCTTAAAAACTTACCCATCGTTAAAAAACGTTTTATTCTGTAAGCGCTTACTCACCAGGAATGGAAGGGACTGTTGATGGGGTACGGAATAAGTCTGGAAGCAGGGCTAGGATTAAACTCCTTTGCTGAAGGGGGAGCTAGTGAATGTTCAAACGTGAACGCTTTCCATGGGTCTGCTTGCCCCACTGGCCTTCCTATGGACGCTGCCTCCTCTACTGCCTCACTGACGGGAGCTCCAATTCTCACCCACACCCACCGGCTTTTCCACGGGAAAAGTGTAGTGAATGCCGATGCTCTACTGCTACCATCGCCTCCATCGCCACGGTTGTGACAGACCACAGAGGAAGCCCTCAGTTTACCTCACCTTCCCACCCCAGCTTAGAGAGGGAGAGGGAGAGGGAGAGAGAGGGAGAGAGAGAGGAAGGGAGAGAGAGAGAGGGAGGGGGAGAGAAATGGAGAGAGGGGGGAGAGAGAGGGAGAGAGAGAGAGAGAGAGAGAGAGAGAGAGAGGGAGAGAGAGAGAGGGAGAGAGAGACTGTTTTCCGATGTGGCATGTTTACAGTCACAGCTTTTTAAAAATCTTATTAACACAACAGCTGTCACAGCAACATCACCGTCACCTGAGGCCGCATCCTATTTCCTTGCAGCTTCCCCATAATGGGCTACAGGAAGCCTGCGGCACTCACTCCCACCGGCTGGCTGGTGAGGGGCTGGCACTGCGAGCATTGCAACGTGTCTCCCTGTCCACCTGTCTGTCCACCTGTCCTTTCCTCGTGTCCTAGCAGCGCATGGCACACAGGGAGAAAAGTGGCCTCGCCATTTTTTCTTGCCCCCTCGTTTTCCTCAGAAAATGAGCTGACACACACAGTCTACTTTCTCAGCTAGGTTTTATGAAGCACTCTTTTTTTGAGCTATCCCACATCCGCACACATCCAAAATAGTACTATTTCTCAAAGTAACGAAACTGTGCGTAATGACAGTACCATCACTTACGCACAACTCTTTAGGTTTGGTTATCTTAAAAATTCTTTTTTTCTGAGGGGGGAGGGGAGGGGAGGGAGAATTGGGGGGAGGGGAGAGAGGGGAAACTGTGGTTGGGATGTAAGAACAAGAACTATAAGCAAAAAAATTTTAAATCCAAAGTCCAACTTGGTGAGTCCATGGGCTTCTTGGGCGCACTTACAAAGCATGGTCAGTGTGACTTACAAAACAGCTGTATAACAGGGAAGTCTAGCCGCAGCACGGATAACGGGATAACGTCCACAGCGGCACAGTGCCTCCCACCCCGATTGCTCTAGCTCCCAGGCTTGAAGACACAAGCAGGGGGACGCGGAGGGAGGAAGGGCCTTCCCGGGCCCCTTCTGTGAGGGACATCAAGAAGCCCCTCCCCAATCTTGAGGGTCACTTGAAAGCAGTCCAGCTGTTCTGAAGAAGGTGATGGCTGCTAGAGCTTAGGGGCCAGCATTTCACAACCACCACCATTATCAGGGCAACTAATCCACTGCCTGGGAAACCACGCACTCCTCCACAATTTCAAAACAGCATTCCTAAGAGTACATCATACACAATTCAGAGAAGGAACTGTATCTTTTAGCTCAGTTTCTAAGAATTTGAAGAGAAAGATGAATTATGCCGATTGTCCTTGCCCTCTTCTTCTGACAAAGAGCATTCCTTTTTTGTTCACCTGCCCAGTATAAAAAACTACTGCATAAATTTCATTACTGTGAAATGACTCATCCTCACTGTTCACTGTTTTCTAGGAAGCATAATTTTATTTTAAAAACAAGGTAAAATGTACTTATGCTGACATTTATTTATTTTGAAGCATTATTTACTTAAAAAATGTTACCAATATTCTCAATCGATGTATAAAGCAAATATCTGCTTCTTATGAGGATACTGTGGTAAGGCACAGGTACATACTAGTCCAAGGAAAATGTGTAAATGTCATATCAACCCTAACGGAAACAGAAATTCTCACATCAAACACTCTTAACACTGACATCTTTTTAAACACTAAATTAAAGAACCACCTGTTAAATAAACAATTCATTACATATCACAAAAAATAAGCTACGAGGGTTTCTTTGAAATTTGTAACTTGTGTTCCCTTTACACAAATGAAAAGCAAGAGCAAACTCTAACTAGTGAATATTGTGAATGTCTTACATGATGAACCTCCGAATATTTACTGGGACAGACATAACCCACACAAGGGAACAAATCATGGTCTTCTAGTTATCAGATGACACATGGGTTCACTAATACCTGCCTGAGATGCTGGCAAGCTGCGGGGCCTGATAGCAGCTTGGCAACAAACAGCAAGGCTCTCATCAGCTTCCTGCCTAACATTACTATAGCTCAGCCTTCTATAATCCAGAGCCTATTTACGCCCTTGAAACAAGTTTGACAAGAGCCAATGAGATGGCTGGGGTAAGGGTGCTTGCTGCCAACCCTGATGATTTGAGGTGCATATCCTGGACCCACGTAGCACAAGGGGACAACTGAGTAGACAAAGTTGTCACCTGTCTCCACACACAAGTGCATGCGTGTGTGCATGTGTGTGCGCGTGCGTGCGCGTGCTTGTGTGTGTGGTGGGGAAGGGGAGGGGTGTAGAAAGAGAGAACACACGAAGAGCCACGGTTACCCTGGTATCCTATTCTCTTCTACACCCCAGACCCCTATAACATATAACACATACATGTAAAGGGAACTTTATACAGGATACAGCATCCGTACCATTAAAAGCCACAAGCAAACATTCAAAGCAAGACCGTGCAAACCCAGTGCCACCCACAAGGACTTTGTGGCTGTAGAACAACTAGAGCTAAGACTGACCACAGATCCAGATGCGTACACATTTTCATTTTTACATTTTAAAAACTGAAATAACTTTCAGTGCCAGAACAAAAACTCAAACAGGAAACACCAATTCAATGATGGGTTTTAGCTGTAGGAAATCACTGGGAAAAATGCAAGTTTCAGGATGGGACAGATAACTGCACCCTGGAGTCCAGATTTCACATTTAATAATTATCACTATCACTAACTACCATTGATTCTTATTGCCAAACCCTTCACATGCATGCAATCATTTAAATATCAAACGTAAATTATACTATACACCTTTTTAATACATAAATTTGTGCTTTCCAGGTCATTCTTACAACCTGTCAAGATAACAAAGAAAAGTCAGTATGTAACTTAGGAAAACAGACTCCAAATTTCTTAAAACAAAGCCGTAACTCTTCCACCAAGCTTTGCCAGAGTACTAGAATCCTATCTGGATCTTCCACCAAGAGCAAAAATTGCCAGCTTTGCCAGAGTACTAGAATCCTATCTGGATTTCAGACAAAGCAAACGGAGGCCAGAATGCAACCCAGAAGTAAAGCTTAAAGCTTGAAGTAGCAAGTCTCATAGAGAACCTTATTTTGTAAACAATGTACTGAGCACCATCGTGGGAGAAAGCATCTTTGTGGAAGGTAGACAGTATTGTTTGCCATCAGATATCAACTTCGGGGTTGAAATGAATGACTGCCTTGACTCATAAACACCAGATGACGCCACTTGGGAACATGATTTCATCACTGTCATCACGGACTACATTTTAATATGAAACAGTGTTGTCCTGGCTTCAACAACTAAACTCCAGTAATAACATAGTTACTGACATGCCAGAGGATATGAATATGTATGTATGTGTGTATGTATATGTATGTGTGTGTGTGTGTGTGTGTGTGTGTGTGTGTGTGTGTATATATATATATATATATATATATATGCGCGCAGCCCAATTCAACCTGTTGATCTGTAGCTTACACCTTCATCTTTCCAATGAACACATTTTCCTTCAGGCTGTAAAAGACAAACAATTCTAAATCCGATAGGACGTTAATGAGGTAAGTACAGCCCAAATCCAGTCACTTCTATATACAAAACAAACCCAGGAGCAACCACAGCATAAAAACTAGATTCCAGGATTTCACGTGATGACATAATTTTACATCGTGCAAGGAAAATTTTATGAGCATGGATGTAGGTGTTACAGAGCCTAAACTTACCACTCCTGGTGACCACAAGTTACAAGACTATATACTATGAATACATGTATGATCAATTGCATTCTTACACCCATGAACTCACAATATATGTATTTTAAAATCACTCATTTTCCTCCAAATGATTTCCCCCCACTTCTTGTTTACAACACAATAAATACTGTTTACAAACAGTACAAAGAGTCATGTTACTAGTCACATTAATACCCTAAGTGAAGAACTTATACAACTGTTTTTGTTCAGGCCACCATGAGATGACAGCACTACGGAGGGCTAGTCTGTGAGAGCAGCGGTCAGATAATCACAGAGTAATACTTAACTAACAGGAGTAGTGCATTTCCACACGGTCTGATGAAAGAAATTATACCTTACAATTAGTGTAGGAGAGCATCTATTCTGGTGTCTCCCACAAACTTGTATCAAAAGAGGGAAGGGGGGAAACCCTCTAGCATAAAGCTCGTGATTTTAATACCAAAAAGCCCATGATACACTCACAACCATGATCTAAGCACTAAAGTACGCTAAGGTATGAAAACAGACAGCATTATTAAGTGTTGAACCCACCGATAACCTCTGGACCACTGAGAGATCTCTGAGAGCATACCTTTTAATCCACGCCATAGCACTTCAAGAGCATGTTAAGGTTAGCCACGCTGGAACCCTTTGAAGAACCTCACAACACCTCAGACCGTGGATCTGTACCTTCTCCTTTGCTTTTGAGATCATAACGGTTCCGAAGAACTAAATGCTTCCATTTGAATTGATAGTCTCATAATTTCAATAACTTAAAAACAAAAACAAAGAATAAACAAGGACTTAAGTGTTGGTCTAGTAAGGCACCGTGCTTCGACTCAGAAAAACGAGAAGCCACTGCCACCGCGCCGCTGTACAATTGTGGGCACTTGCTTTATTTACACAGACGTTTCTCTAACAGTTCCCACAAATGTGTACCTTAATCGTTTCTTCTACCCATTGTCCTAGTCATCTCTCCATCTGACTCATCAGTATTCTTTGCAACATCCCTTACAATCCACCTGACAGCAGTATCGATCGCTGCCCACATCCTGTGGGAAATCTACTCCACGTCTAAGTTATCTGAAGTACAGGTAAAGTGACCCAGAGCTTGTGCCCAGAGACTGAGGGGACACAGCAGTCTTGGAGACTGTATCCTCAACCTGTGGTCTAATGCTGTGGTCTAGGGTCAGAACAGAGTGAACCACAACAGCCAGGTGGACAGAGACCATCTGCTTGCTTGCTTGCTTGCTTGTGTGGAGGTGGAACACGATGCCAGGTCTTCTGTAAGAAGAAAACCTACTCCAGAATGGGTTCACTGCTGCTCTGCGAGCGCCCTGGAAGACATATGGCCTTCTCTCTTCACCCTGACCCACTTTTCAAAAATAGGAAACACCACAAATGTTTCATAATTTAGATATAGTGACAAGTTCATATACTGCAGTTTTATATCCAAGAACCACAATCTCTGATGCAAGTTTAATACAGAATGTTTGTATTGCACAAAATAGAATATCATCAATGAATATATACATTTCCTGTCAAAAAGCAATTTAAATTATTTTAACATAAAGCAAGTTTCTACAGAAGAGTAAGACAGCCGGTTAAGACTCTGTGCATATGAAGTAGGCCTGGTGAAGGACGGAACAGGGCTGCAGTCTGTGCTAAGGACAAAGTGAAACCCTTCCTGTTTGAATTCACTCCAAGTCCAGTGTCAGATGACGACACATTTCTAAGATCACTCTACAGAAAGCTGACAATGATGACAGAGCTACATCTAAGAAAGCTTGACCAGCATAAAGGAAACTAATGAAAAGAGAACCAAAGGACCTGGCCCAATGAAACCCCTGCTAATGGCCCCAGGCCCTCCCTCTTCTGCTCAAAACAAGTTAGCAGTGTGTGTTTATGTGCACACCCACAAGCCTGTTCCCTCCTGGAAGGATGCTATGCTGTTTCCTACACTATGCCCCAGCAAATAAACGCATCCTACACACAGGGTACCAGATGAATGCTTCTCAACAGTTCCTTTTCCACACAGGAGAGAAAAGGGGGAGGGGGGCCGCTACTGGAAAGCAAGCAAACACACGAGTACATCAACGAACAAAAGTACAGAAGAGCCCTGTTCTACAGGACACAGCATCTGTACTCAAGGACTGGCCTAAAGAAAACCCACGCAGTATACCAAAGAATTGGACACTAAGTGGGTCCTCTACCTAGAATCTCAGAACGTCCCTACAAAACTGGTGCACACTCCTGCTAACGGACAGAAGATCTAGTGCTGGCACATTGTCCCAAGACAATACTAAACACTTCATGGCATTCCACTCCATCCTAACCCTCCTGACAGGTGAGAGTCCGGGACTCGGAGGTATGTGTGAAGGTCAGTTGCTTGTAGTGATACAGTTTTATGAAAATACCTCTTGATCCCCAAAACAGAGCTCCTGAGGTCACAGTTCAAAGGGAAGTTAATACTATACTTAACTTGCTCCCTACTGTGTACTTACTCAGCTGGTTTAAGTTTAAACTGCCTTTAAAAGAACCTTACTAGAGCCAGGCGTGGTGGCACACACCTTTAATACCAGCACCCAGGAGCAGAGCCAGGGAGAGCTCTGTGAATTTGACATCAGCCTGCTCTACAAAGGACAGCCAGGGCTGTTACACAGAGAAACCCTGCCACAGGGGCAAAAGCAAAAAGGGGGTGGGCGGGGCTTACTATGCCCTTGATAACCTAAGCTAATGCATCTTTCACCTTAAATTATGTACTCTTCCATGCCCCCCCCCGTGTGTGTGTGTGTGTGTGTGTGTGTGTGTGTGTGTGTGTGTGTGTGTGTGTGTGTTGTGGTTATCATTTACTGAAAGCAGCCTACAGGCTAGAATCTACCTTAAACAAAGATATCGTCACTCTCGTTGGAAAGCAACTTGTGGATAGCTGAAAATGTGTGTTAGTTATGTTTGCTTTTCTCAGTGCTTCTGGGTCACAACCAGAACCCAGTCCAGGGGAACCGAAGCCCTCTTCTGACCTCGGCAGGCTCCAAGCTCTTACACGCACATGGTACACACACACACACACACACACACACACACACACACATGCAGACAATCATACATATAAAATAATAAATCTGAAAATGTTTAAACCGTGTAGCTTTTGCCTGTGTAAATTTTAGCTGTCAAATCTAAAGTGGCCATGAACGGCAGTCCCCACAGATGGATGTACAGACACATTTTCCTCAGCTTATCTAATAGTCAAGTCCTATCTTTTCAGGGGAAACCACTATGAGTCGCGAAGTTATCCTTGGGTTATAGAGATGATAAAATGGGGAGCAAACAGACCTTTAGGTAGTGATTACCCTAAAAGAACAGCACAGGCATTGGCAAAAAACCTCCCAAATTAACTCCAGGAAACTGCTAAGCAACTTCAAGATGTGAAAAGAAACATCCACTCATCAATGACCACTCAAGAAACTGAACTATGCCAATGTTGGTAACAAACTGAACAACACAAACAAGAAACCATCATTTTTTCATAACAGCTGAAACAATCTTGCAGAATTATCACAATCAAGGGTTTGATTCAAAATGTGTTACAAGAAAATTAAAAGGTCATTTAAAGTATCTTCCCTCAGGCCAGTCCAGTGATACACACCTTTAATCTCAGCAGTGAGGAGGAGGCAGAGCAAAAGCAGGCAGAGCTCTTTAGTTTCCAGGCCAACCAGGGATACATGGTTAGACCCTGTCTCAAAAACAAAACAAGATACTTGACTAAACACAGCACACCTTAGGCAAAACAGCACAGTAAAAGGGTGTTCCTATGAAATGCCCAGCCTTAACTAAACCCTTCCTTGTAAAAAGTAGGAAAGAGCCTATGCATGTCCTCATGACATTTCACATCGTCCTGTTCCTTCAGCAGAAGAAACAGTTTCCTGCCAGGTTTTTCATCCTTCCTTTGGTTTTATTCCCGTAAGCCTGATGTTGAAGGAATCTAGAGCAGAGTGAGCACCAAGTGGAAAGGTAGCATTCATTCTGAACACACGAGTGACAGCTTCGTGATGCTGGGCACATGTGATAAACTCTACCTAAAACACAGTGGACATCCAAGTATCTGCTAAACATGAGGGAAAACTTCAGCAGTGACTCTTTTTAGGAGGGATGGGGGAAAACAGTAGGCTGGCATATCCAATTTTCCATTTTGTAAAAATTAACTCACTTAGGAGATTATATCTTGGAGATTATGTTTAAAACTGTACTGATACTTATTTACAATGAACAACTTAATATATATTTGTACACACAAAGACATGATAAGGTGAAATGTCAGGATAATAGTTTTTAAGAGATAATTGGGTCAATAAATAAGACAACAATTTTGACAACTGAATTTTTGGTTGCAACTGGCCCTCTTCGTATCTGAGAATGAGAACTGACCTATCAAGATAAAAGATATTTTGGAATAGGACTGGAGAGATGGCTCAGGGAGTCAAGGCCCACGTTTAACCCAGCACATACGGGACTCCAACTCCAGGGGATCCAGCACCTCTGGCCTCTGAGTGACTCTATCTACACTCATATGCACATGCTTGCACACACATACACATAATTTGAAAAAAAAAAGATTTTAAATATGAGAAAATATTTAGTCTGTGCTTACTATATCCATCCACAATTGTGTGCATCACAACCCAATCCATAGTACTCTGGTTGATATACATTAGTATAGGCCATGAAATTATTTAAATGTAGACTGTTTAAACCAGTAAAGTAAAAATAAGTTTATCTTTTGATCATATTTTTCTTTATAAAGGGCAAGGAAATTTAACCACTAAAAGCAACTAAGATCAGAAAATACTATACAAGAACTTGCATCTTATGAAATAAATTTTTTATTCGTTCAAATTTTATCTTCATTCTTCAATCACCATGAGCTTCAATGTAAAGCATTCTTTCTTTAAAGACCATTAAAAGGTGCTAAGAGCTGGGCATGGTGGCACATTACTGTAATCTCAGCAGTACATAAGCTGATGCAAAAGGTTCAAGTCTGAAGCCTGCCTAGGTTACAGAGCAAGAGTGTGAATACTACATCCCAAAAAAGTAATACAGAAAACTGTATGATAAATAAAAATAAGAATGCCTATAATTTTGGTACTCAGAAAAAAGGTGAACAAGGTGATCTCATAAGCTCAAGGCTAGCCTTGGCTAATTATGTTCTAGGTCAGCCTGGGCTACTGAGATGCCATCTCAAAAATCAAAACCAAATACACATACACATCAAAATGGGGGTCTGAAACACCCCTCCCCCTCACAGTGCTAGGGACTGAACCCTGGACACACTAAGCAGGTTCTATATGTCCAATCAAAAGAAAAAAACTCGGTCTCAGTGAAGTGTTGAGGCTGGCCTTAAACTCACTCTGCAATCCAGGCAAGCCTTGAACTGCAATCTTCTTACATCTGTCTCCCAAATAGCTGGGATTTCAGGTTCATACTCCCAAGCCTAGTTGATAGTTTTTAGAACTTGATTAACTGGAGAATGCCCAGCTGGTGTCCGCAACAAGAGTGGGTTGTTAACTTGATGAAGGGAAATTAATTCCACATATTTGAGCTGATTTAATTTTTTACTATCTACCGGCTAACTTAATGTTAGTTCATATTCAAGCAAAACAACAAAGGCAATTTCACCTGAAGTCATTAACCAAAATACCCTACTGTCTCAAACGTATAGATCAGAAATCACACTATTTATTTGTTTGAGGGAGGTCTGAGATAGGGTTTAACTGT